TAATGAACTGATATGTCATAAAATATTAAATAAAACTCCCTTATAAAAATTTACCGATTTTATTTTTAAGTAGCATTAACCTTACAATTTTATCACAGGACTGTATCTTACGAAAATTTCTAGTGGATACAAAAGTTTAAATGGCACTTGTACAACACAAAAACATTTTCAAAATCATTACACAATAGGTAACTCTAGATAATTAATGACTAGCATATTATACAAAAACAACTTTTACACCTTACCCATGTAAAGTGTACTATACAGAATTATTTAATTAAAATATGACACAATTTAAACACAAATAGAAAAAAATATATATAATTTTTTTCTGGTAGTGCAGTCACTAAAACTAAATTTATTTTTCTGAAAAGTAAGATTATTGGAACAAATATACAAATTTTATAAAACAAAACATTTCTGAATAAATATTTTATGCAATTTTTAAATAATAGCATTAAAATGCACATATACTACAAGCCGTTCAAAATATATCATATTTTTATAAATTGTCTATTATTACAGGCTACTGCATAAAAAAGTATTATACCGAAATAGCAGATTATATTTGACTGTTATTGACAAATGTAATTTATCATAGGATCGTTTCATACATTCAACATTTTACTAGATTCTAAAATTAATTTGCTTTAAATCAGATTACTAATTTCTTTTTTTCAGAGTGGTTGTTTCATATTACGTAAAAATTGTGAAGCTCTTATGAAGAGTTTTTAGTAGTGATGGGACTTTTCATGAAAAGTAATTTTTGGACTAGTCCGACTGACTGAAAAGTAATAAAAACCCACATAGCACACGGACGTCTTATGGACGTCTAAAAGACGTCCTTTAGGGACATAAAGGACGTCCGAGGGACGTCCTATTTTGGTACCGGGACGTCAATCGGACGTCCCATGGACGTCCTAATGTCCCGTTTCTGTCCATCTTAGGGACGTCCCTCGGATATCCCTGGGATATCCCAAAAGGATGTCATAGGGACCTTTGCGGGACGTCCTAGGGACGTAAATCAGACGTCCGAGGGACGATATTTGACCATAATCCATAAAGGGTAATAATAACAAAAATGTTAACAATAAAAGAGCTTTATTTAACAACTTTTATCCTAAAAAACCTAGCTAGAGTTAAACGTTTTCAGTTTACAAAAAAAAAACAGGAATGAATTAAATTTAACACACAGCGCTGGCAAGATGAAACCTTGGGTCCTACTTATAGCTTGTGTCGACAAAACTGAGTATTATAATTTTGTCCAAATTAGTTTTGTTCCAACTTTCCGCCATTAAGGTATTTTCTTTCCGCCAGCGGCTACCGACAATACACATCACTTATTCTCACATCAACACAAAACACTCACTTCACTTTATAACCACTTTACCACCAGCATCAAAAAAATAACAAATAACACTATATAACCTTCTTTTTTCTTCGTTAATCTAACTCACTTATTTAAGTTAATTATTGAATGCCGAAAATTGTAGCTATTGTTGTTCATTTGAAAATAAATGATAGGTTAGGTTTTCTGTCCTCATACTCTTGCAAAATCAAAACGTTGAATTTCAAGTTATCGATTCAAAGACCAACGATGCTAGTGCATAGAAAGTCCCATAGACGTCCCTTGGACGTCCCATTAACGTCCCGGACTCGGACCGAAAACTAAACGCTTTGTCGAAACGGGACGTCCAGAGGACGTCCTTCTAAGGACGTCCTAGTGTTAACTGTAATCGGAAGTCCAGTGGACGTCCTATTTAGGTCCGGGACCAACCGGACCAAATCAGGACGTCCATGGGACGTCCTGTGCTATCTGGGAAGTCACAGTGAAAAGTAATCGACCTTGAGCATAGAAGATACACAGTTAAATATCCTATTGCTAACAATGTTAACCAAAATATATGTAAGTTGGTAACTATAGTTAATTTTAAAGCCATATCAACTCCTATGGAAATACATTTTAAACATGAGATTTTAAAAGGAGATACATCTGAAAGTCCTGACATTGAACATAAGTGCCGAATGCTTATTGGTTCGTTGATGTATGCCATGTTGTGTTCAAGGCCTGACTTATGCATAACTATAAATATTTTGAGCCGGTATCAGTCATGTGCCAGCTCAGACTTGTGGAAATGTCTTAAGAGAGTACTTAGATATGTGCAAGGCACTATCCATCTCAGTTTAACATTCAAAAGTTTTAATTATGTGAATTGTATCACATGGTATGCAGATTCGGATTGGGCCGGGGACAACACAGATCGTAAATCTACTGCAGATTACGTGTTTAAATTATTTGATTGTATAATTGTTTGGGCTTCTCGCAAGCAATCAGTAGTTGCCTTATCCTCAACAGAAGCCGAATATGTAGCACTCAGCTTAGCTGTTTCTGAAGCATGTTGGATAAGATATTTATTTTTTAATTTAAAAATTAATAATGAATTTGTATACGTTAAAATTTATAAGGACAATCAGTCTGCCATAAAGTGTGAAAAATCCGGAATTTCATAAAAAACTGAAACATGTAGACATTAAATTTAATTTTATTCGTAATAAGGTTAAAGAAAATGTTATTTCTTTAGAATATATTAGCACAACTGAACAACTGGCAGACTTATTTACCAAACCGTTAGGTAGTACGCAGTGGCGGCTCGTGGCCAAAATTTTGGGGGTTCACAGTGACAGAATATAGATATCAGTACAGATGTATGAAAAAACTTTCAGTGTTTTAGAAAGTTTATAATATTACTTTCGAAAACACTGATAGTTTTTTACCTACATCTGTACCGAGATCTATATTCTGCTACTGTGAACCCCCAAAATGTTGGTCACAAGCCGCCCCTGGTAGTACGTTGTTTATAAAGTTTAGTCAAGCTTTAGGGTTAGAATAATTTTGTATTTTTATTATTTAGAGATTTACCATTGAGAGGGGGACCAAAATATATCGTCGCCTTTATCACGAAGTGACCTAACCAACAAAAATAAAAAAAATGTTTTTTTGTGCGGATTAACTAGTCTTGACCTACTTTATCATCTCACGAAGTGGCACATCTACAACCTTAAAAGTGCATGGCAATACAGCATATTATGTCTGTGTCCTATCTGCAATAACGCATAACGATATGAGAATTACGTATTTTCGTTTTATTGCTGTAAAATTTACTGTCACTAATGCTACTTCGTGATGAGGGCGACGATATGTAAGTTGGTAACTATAGTTGCACTAGAACAAGATGGCGCATAAGCAAAGCACCAGTTACAAGTGTTGATAAAAAACTGTTTACTTATTTATTTATCTTTTAAAGTTCTTTTTTAAATAAAAGTATTCCAAAACGATTTCGCTTAATCCACAAACCCTCATATCTCCAACCTGGATGTTTTTTCAAAAACACTTTGGTAATAGTATTTGCATATTTAGTTTCGTTTTTTTTTTTAGGCAAATCATTTGTAAAATACTTCCACTACTTAGAATTTTTGGTCATTTTTCAGGAGTTTATTTTTAATAAGATATGAAACGAAAATTCGGATACATCGTTAAAACATATAGAAGTCAGTAATCATTTGTCGTTTAATCTTTTTTAAACTATATTTTGCCTTTGTAAGGAATTCAGAAACATTAGTTATTTAATTTCGCGCATGCGCAATACACTTTTCCACTTTTGAAAGTCAACTTTTCAGACTAGTCCGTCGGACTTGTCTATGGACTTTTCCAAGCGAACCATCACTAGTTATTACTAGTTAGTATCTTAAATTTTAGTATATTATACCTGTCATTAAAAAAAATAGGCAATTAGAAAGCAAAACTTATGGAAACTAGTAAACATTGTTGGATAACAAATTAACTTTTTTATACAGTTAACAATCGTGTCAAAAGTGGACCGTAATAGGGATGACGTTAAAATAAAGTTGAAAATACTTATTTAAATTGTTTCAAAACAGAACTATGTTATCATGGCAACATGACAAAGCACAAAACGTTCGCATTTTTTAGTATTCAACTCTTGGCTCTAAAGGTACCTCAATAAGGTAAGTTTGAAGTCAAAGGAGTTGAATATCCAAACACGTCTAAAGATTGCCAAACAGTGTGACCACGTTGAAATCTTTGACCAAAGATTTCAATGTTTATTTTTTTTTTAATTAGCTATTTCATACTATTACAGTCCATATTTTATTGTGAAATAATATAATACTAATAATGACCTGTAATAAATGTTATGTCAGGAACGCTATTATATTCCAAAAAATCCATAAATAACTAATGCTAGGTACTTAAACTAGGAAATCATGTAAGAACTTTGGAACTCTTTGGTAAGTTTTTAACTTATGATAAATTTATTGAGAAAATATTATGATTTAATTTTTTCACGGAATATATCTAATACATTTCTCCTTTCAAATTATTTCTATTAACACTTAAATACATCTATTGTATTATTAGGTATAGCAAAACATGTACATTTAAAAAAATACCTTTACTCACAATCGGTTAGTAAACTGTGGATTTAAACAGACCGGAAGTGATCTATTGCTTACTTCACTTTCCCGGCTAGCATATGTTACTTCCTTACCCGCAAATGTCACTTACTACTACTATGACTCGTATTGTTTTCATATCTCTTCCTACTTTTTTTCGGAATCATGCATTCCCTAATGAGAGAATGCATCTAACAAGTATATCTAGCACTCGTAATATTCTGTGCCGATTATCGATTGTCTGCCATTATTTTGGTGCTAAAAGTAATCAATTAATTTCGACGGCACTAAATTTGCAAAAATGGCAAATAAATCGGAAATTTATCAAAGACGGGAATAGGAAATCTTTATTAAATTAAGATTATTTTTAAGAGTAGAACTTAAAATTAAAAGAAAATATAGGGTGTCCCATTAACTTTATATTGGTATGCTGGTTTAGGACAGCCTGTATATATGAAACTAATTTTAATTTGTAGCCGCCGCGCCGTTGAGTTGTATCTTTATGCCAAAGAAATTTTTAATACCGTTTGTAGTTTACCCACCAGACTCCGTGGCATATCTTGTATATATATTTTTCTTGTGTCTTATGTATTGTTCCTCATTTATTTTAATTTTTACGCTTTGAACTTGCTTTGTACCTAAAATGATCAATAAAGTAGGTACTAATAACATAATTAAAAGTTCATTTTATTTCCAACATGATACGCGTCTGGTCAAATGACAGTGGTGTCAGAATGGAACACATTTTCCTGCGACTTTACGAGTCCTTCCTTTATACCTAGTCGGGTACATTTAGGCTAGCTGTAGGACATATTTGTAAGTATGTAAAGACAATTTTATTATTAAAAAAGTGCCGTTTAATATGTAACTGTTATATTCTGCCGTGTTAATTCAAATGGCCGTATCTGTTTTTATATGAACGTGAGAAAAATCGATTTTTCAAGAAAACTCACTTACGCCCAAATTTCTAAGCGTTAAATCTCGGATTTTATAGAATATATATCCATGAAAATTATAGAGATCATCAAAAAATACATTGTTGTCAGGCGTAGTGGTCGTATCTTTATTTCAAGGAAAATTGCACTTTGAATTAACACGGCAGTATTGTCAAGCAAGGGTCTCACAAGTATCGTCCTTAGAACCATTTATCAAATTAATACCAATATTATTTGAAACGTATATAAAATTACTAATAGTAGATTGTGAGTTAAAGCGTGTACATATCTCGGGAACTCATTCTAACCTCGCGTCTGTTGAATTCATCGGGTGCTTCGCACCTCGCTAATCTACCTTGACGCTCGGCTGTTATAGAGACCATGGTAATAGAGTACTTCTCTGTTCGATATGTTGTTTATATTATTATTTGTATATTTTTTGTTCATTGTCATTAAATATTATGTCATGTCAAAGTTTGACAAAGATCAGCTGTGATGTTTTTTAATTCAAAGAAAGTTTTAAAATATTTTCGTTTATTTATAACTACTAAATTAAAATAAATCACCATTAAGACCTTACTGTCACAAGGTAGAAGCAATAATAAGAGAATGGAAAAACTTTGTATATTTTCTCATTAAATTTATCAATATGCAGCATCAAAATATAGTAACTAAACAATCCAATATTACATAAATATAGGAACAAATATTAACTGTGTCTTACCTACAAATGCTCAGAAACATTATTATTAAATTATATATAATTTATTTTTAGATGGGTTCCTCACAATGATATATACTATTTGAAATAATTATAAATCTTGAAACATGAATGTAAGTAGAGCTAGAATAAACAATTCGAGAAGAACAGAAAGTAGACTTACGATTATTTTTAAATTAAATTGATAGCTATAAAAATGTTTAGAAAAAATATCATGCTTTCACTATTTTCTTGAAAATATTCATTCATGGAAAACATACGTGAAAATTGATTGTAATACTATTACAAGACGTGGAGAGTAACTCTAGTCATTTAAAATGTTTTCATTCACACAGAATTCTATAGATATGAGGTTTGATTACAATAAAACAATTTGATTGCTTTATAATATAAATATAAAAATATGGTAATCAATATCGCTTACTATTAAACTAAACAGCTACTAGCTGAAAAAAATAGTCTAAATAAATTATGGAAGAGGAATTGATCTTCTCAACTTGCAATTTTCAGCCGGAGCAAACTTCAGAATGTTCATCCCAAGCGTTAACCTGCAAAAATTTTAATTGTAAGTTTTAAAGTTGCAGTTTGGATACAGTATTTTTTATATACATATTTCTCTTAAACACGCAGGCACCTTTATTATAAACAACATAAGTAATATATTAAATCTATTTGTATTCCATTAATATTGTATTTATGGATGAATTTAAAGTTTAAAGTCACGAGCTAAAAATATTCAACAACTGCATGCTAAATTATAGGATAAAAAGTAGAATTAAAAAATATACGAGTAATTCCAAATGTCATAATTTCGGCGAAATAAAAGATCAAAGTCCAAGCGGTAAGCGCTGTACTAAAATCTCATTGTAGCACTAGAGAAAATATATTTAAATTGAACTATAGCATTAAATACAATAAATAAGAAACCAAGTGAAAGTTGAATAATCTTAACACATACAACTCGTGTAAATAATGATTATCGAAAATTGCTTCTTTTTTGAAAGGTTTTAAAAAATTATGCAAATTATTTTATTTTACCTGACAATCTCGACTGCAATACCACTGGTTTCCACAACCAGCGCATACAAATTGAGCCGATTTTTGATTACAGCCTTGACACAGAGGTACATCATCACCACCATCAGAATTATTGTCAGAATTGTTTTGTTTTTTCCCGTCGACATCGTTATTTTCATCTATAACTAATCTGTCTGCACTATCTTCAGTCTCTTCTTCCTCCTGTAAAACGCATTATTTTTTTAAATATTAACTATATTGGTATATTTACGGGCAAGCCCGTTTAAATTACAATAACTTATTAAAAATTACATAGGTATATTTTAAATAATGTCTTTTTACAGTTGAATCAAATATAAGATTATCCAGAAAGTTTGCAAATTAAGTATCCAAAATGATCCCATCACGTGTAGACTCTGCATGGAAGAGGAAGAAACTAATTTCAAGTAAAATAAATAATTATTAAATATCTATTAGCATTATTTTAAACTGTAAGTATTTATTTATTTTTTTCTTTAGTTTATTTTAATTTTAAAATCTCTGTTGCACAAAAGTATTGAGCCCGTAACAATACTAGAGCAATCATAAGTTTTTAATGTCAGATTTTTACCGGACTATGTATGTTGTTGTGAATATGAGAGTTTCTATTAATCTGGAAAATCTCCTGTATCCAATGATTTGATAAAAATAAAAAAGAGGAAAAGACAATATAAAGGGAGCATCGCATTAGGACCTGGTCTCTTTCTTAATTTTAGATAGCTTCTCGTAAATAGTAATTGATTGGATATGATACATATTTCGATTCAATTTTACATTCATACAGATTGATAGTGTGATTTGTGTAGACTGACGAAAAATGGTCTACAAATAAGTTAGCTATGTTCGAGCCCAAGGAAATTTCAAATCCATATTTCATATAAAGAGAAAATTATGCACAAGTAGAAAATGTACCAATAATTCGCGTATATTATGTGAGTTTGCAATTGCTTTAGGTCACCCATTCACGAGGACGTAAAACATCCAAATGGAGTGACTGCATTCCAAAATCCCTCCGTGAATTTTGAAAATTGAATGTTTAGGCGTGGCGTGGTAGTTTTGCTGAATATCCAGACGTCCCTAACATTCAACGAACTTTAGTAGCAGTCTGCGGCGTGGACAGCATGGATGGGTAACCCCGAGTTGGCTGTGCACCACCCAACAGAAAAACTACATTATTCAAGCATCCATTTGAATGCCGTTCAAACGGATTCATTCCATTTGGAGTGATGTAAATGGGGGCCTTTAAAACACAAATTTTTTTAGTATACATTTTTCTATAATGTTGTATACTAGTTCACATTGTGTCCCAAATAGTACAGAAATGCATAGTACACAAAACAGTATATTACAAAGTTGTACATAAATTGATTAAAAAAAATATGTTATTGAGCTAAAATGTGGACAACGTACAGAATTGCTACAAAATAGTACATGACATACACAAATAGTACACAGAGAGTACTGATTGCTCGTACACCATAGTACACCAGTGGTTTACCCCTCGTAAAATACATTAAACGCAAACTACTTTAAAATTTTCAACAGGGAATAATCTAAATTGAAGTAGTCATAGTACAACATGCATGATTACATTTCCTACTTGATGTTATGTTGCGATTTTTTAAAGAGACCGAGATAAAAACTATTACAGTTTAATATCTTTGCTGATATATCCCAAAAATAGAATATCAGCCATGTAATAAGAAGCAATTATGTACTTGATTGAAAACTGTACAATAACAAAAATAGTTTTGCAATCTTGTTACATTTTGTAGGTTTTATTATTTTTATCTTATAATGGTTTCAAACCAAAACCAATTTATGAGATAGTAGATAAAAGAACATTTCGTTATTAAGATAGAACCAAAAAAAAATATGGATATTTAAATTAATGCTTACCACATTTTTTCCTTTAATTGGTGTAGATTCATACTGACTGTCAACGGGGGTTATAGTGATTTCGTTACAAGCCTAAAAAACATTAAAATATTTAAGTATATTGGCACACAAAAGATGCAGACAGTTGACAGGGGTGAAGGCAATAACAAATTTTATGCGTTAAATAAGACCACATTAAAAATAGATGCTTAAACAAAATTGATACAAGATGGTAATTATTAACAGTACCTACGCTCCTTTCATCTATGAAAGTTGAACTTGCGACAGTTTATCAAAAAACAAAAAATGAATTAAATCAATTCACAAGAAAAAGTCTAGAACGGAACACTATAACCCACAAACTAAAGAATAAACTAATACATAGAATGGTTGGGATGAGTAGCTAGAATGAACATGATTATAAACTTAGAGATTCAGTATGAGGTGGGCTTTAAATCACACCATATTTCAGAAAGTAATAAGACAAAATAGGCCAAAAAGGCGAATCAAGAAAGGCGTGGATCCAAAAGGCATATTGATATATAGAGAAAATAGTGAAATAGAGATATTAAACCAAAATCCGACAGTCACTGATTGAGGAAAAGGGCTGAGTTGAAGAAAAAATTTAGTCATTCAAACGATTAATATCTTTTATGTATGTGCTACACTAAATGTAGTTACTTTGGACATTAACTTAATTTTCCGGTTAATAACGTTAATTACCAGAACTGTTGGTAATTCGCGTCATTATCCGGACAAGGATACTGCTTGAGATCACCATAGATATGTTTATTGTCATTAACCGGTTAATGTTGATAACTTAGGTTAAACTCGAAATGATTACAGTACAGCACAGGGATCCTTATGTGCGAACTCGACACGTCACGTATCGAATAAAGCGAATATTGCGTTTCGACATTACATAAGAATCACAGTCTGTTAAATGAAGATAGGCATCTCGACACGTGATGTATCGAAAGATGAGATTTCCACTGCTGACCAATAATATATATTTTATTCATATTTTTTAATACGACAGTTAAAATGGATCAATCATTTTATGAGCTACTAAAAATGACAATAAGCAGTTTTTGAGTTCTGCCGAATATAATACCGAGATGAAAACTTCAAAACAAAATCTGAAAACACCAGGATGAAGAAAACCGCGAATCGGTAGGTTTTCATATGAAGCAATGTTTGGTAGTAGCGTAATTGTAAGTTTGAAAACTACGAAATAAATATTCCATATATGATGAAATCTCAAAACTAAAAAAGAAGATTTTGAAATATTTAAAAGGGATCTTAAAAACGCTAATTCTAGTCTACAAAAAGATTCAATGCTATCAAGATTCACCTAAACTTACACGATATAACTGATTCAATTGAAATATAAAGTTTCTGTAATTTTATCTAATTCTAAGTGCCATGAAAGTTTATCTTGTACAAATAAATAAGGAAGATATTGCCTTTTTTTTAAAGAATGTATGTTTACTTTTTTGATTAAATATTCGCATTTTTATATACTTTTAATATAACATACTTTTAATATACTATACTTTCAACGACTTTTTTTGGATATTTAGGTTAATCATCACAGGTCAAAGTTGTTTTCAAATATTAACATTTACCATTTTTTTACCATACGCAATGCCCACAATGGAAAATAACGTCATTAACTAGACATTGACTTTATTAACCAATTTTAAATGTAAAGAATGTCAGTAGACCATGATTAAAATTATTATGGCTCCTACACACGATCGGCGATCACAGGCGAGTACCATCGTGTGGAGGGCCTATTTGTCTGTGATTTTTTATTTATTTATGGGCAAGCCAATTTGATAAATAAATTACAATTTTAAATTATAATTAAAATGTAGAGAAATATATGGTTCTGAAATACAAACGTGGTATAATTCATTACATATAGACTAAAATAGGTAAAGAATTTAATAGATTTAAAAAGACAATAAGGTTGAATAAAATATTTACATTAAACATTAAAAATTAAAGATCAAAGATTAAAGCTCAGTAGGTACTTAGTAATTGCTTTATAAATTTATGAAAGGGGGTGTTAAATATCTCAAGATCGTTAGTGTTGGCTAATCTTAACATTCTTGGAATACAGCTGTTTAAAAGTATGGTTTTTTAAACAATAAAAAGGTACATAAAATGTTTGTTGCTGTCGTGTTGAGCACGTTGGAACATAAAGATTTATTTTTGTTAGACATTCAGTACAGCAGTACAGCTGCATCTGCCATTGATAATTTTGAAAAGTAATGTCAGGTCTCTTTTTTCCCCATAGTTTCCAATGAAGGGATATTTAGAAAATTCTCTATCAAACCATATTCGCAAAGGACACCCAATTTATAGGCTATGTATCTAAGAAATTTATGTTGCACATTTTCTATGTTTCTGCTGTGTGTTATGTAATGTGGAGACAAGACAGAAGAGCAATAATCTAGGTGAGATCGGACTAGTGAACAATAAAGTACTTTAATTGCAGTTGTGTCGGTAAAATCATGTGTTAGCCTTTTGATAAAATCTAACATTTTCATGGATTTATGGATAGCCTTAGGTATGTGTTAATTGAAGCTTAAAGTGAGATCTAGAATAACTCCAAGGTCTTTAATCTGATTAACAGACTCCAAGATATGACGATTTAAGTTATAATCAAAAATAGTAGTTGGTACATGGGATCAATAAAAGCGCATGACATGGCACTTTATGGCAGTCAAATCCATGCCATTTAAGGAACACCAGTTTGATAGATTATCAAGGTCAGGCTGAAGCCAGAAAGCATCACAAATGGTTTTAATAATTAGGAAAACTTTTAAATCATCTGCAAACAATAGTGCTTTGTCATACTGAAAACAATGTCATTTATAAATATGTTGAATAATAAGGGACCAAGGTGTGATCCTTGAGGAACACCTGAGGTAACTTGAAATGAGTTAGAATAATGATGGTTTACTCTAACATTTGAGTTCTGTTCGTAAGATAGCTACTAATCCATTGCAGTACGACCCCATTTATGCAATATTTATCGAGCTTTCGAAGTAAGAGAGAATGGTTGACCCTGTCAAAAGCCTTAGAAAAGTCAATGTACACAAAGTCAATCTGGCAACTCCAAAGCTTCCGACAGGAAGTCGACGTAGGTAACTAGATTTAATTCAGTCGATTTCCCAACACAAAAACCATATTGATGATCAGTTATGATGCCAGAACAGTCATAGGTAAGGTAGTCTGTTATAATGTTCTCAAAAACCTTAGGTATAGTACTGAGAATAGTTAAAGGTCGGTAATTTTTGACGTCTGACTTGCTACCCGATTTGTATATTGGGGTGACATAAGATAGTTTCCAATAATCTGGATGGCGATAGATTTATTAAAAATATTGAAGAGAGGGCGAGACAATACAAAGCTGCAATTTCTAAGTAGGGTGGGAGGAATAATGTCAGTACCTGAACCTTTCTTTATGTCAAGATTAGATAATTTCTCGTAAATGTTCGAAATAGTAATGTGGTAAGAGGAAACCTAAAGTTTTGATTCAATATCGTTAAAATTTTGATTTAGTTTTTGATTAGTGTAAACTGATACAAAATGCTTGGCAAACAGATTTGATACTTCACTGCCATAAGAAGCAAAAGAGTCTTCAAGGTTCATATTATCAGGTATGGTGTTATTAGATCTTTTGGTACTTTTAACAGAATGCATGTAATTTGAATAGCATTCTCTAGATATAATCGTGCATTGTGATCTTAACTGACTGAATATTTCATAATTTTAGGGAGTCCTGTTTAGCTTGTAAATCTTATGTGCAACCTTTTTATCTTTGACAAAGCTTCTAAGTTGAAACGAATACCAATGTGGGAATCTGTTTATAACAAATTGCTTTAAGGGAACAAATAACTCAATTACCGAGTACAAAGCGTCATAAAGAGTAAGAATCATTTCTGAAAGTTCCCTGATCGGCTATGATTGGTAATGATCTTCAGTAATCGATTAGTTGTCGTTTTTTTTACATACAGATGAAAGGTAATCGCCAGTAGTTGCTTTTGTGTAATTTCGAATACATATCTATAGCTGTCAATAAAAAATAAGGTATAAAACAATATTTCATATATTTCTATAATATTAACACTCCGCTAAACCCCCAGTAGGCGGCGATAACCAATTAATTACTTTGCCAAATGATGACGAAGCTGTGTTCTTTTAATTGTAATCGGACCCTACTAGAAGCTATTCTTGAATATTTTACAATAATAATAATTTTTTTTGGAGTGAGGGTAGCCATATGTGAGTAGCAGGGATTAAGTGTAAAGGTTAAAGAAAAAGTCCTTTATTTCTCACAAAGTCAATTTATTGGCGACCGGTTTCGAAGTTGTCACTTCATCATCAGGCACACCTAAATGGAATATCAAGGAGTCAGTTGTAATAAAAACAATTATAAAAGCATGAACGGACTTTAACATATACAAAATAACAGAAAAAACACAAAAGAAAGTTAAACAATAACCTTGACTCACCTTGACTAATTCCATAAAGGAAGCGCTACAAAAAGTTTAACAGAACGAGTTAAAAAAGTCATGTGTAATAAGTATTTTTTTTTTAAAAAATGTTTTAAATGTAGGTTAGGTTAAACCACCAGATGTCTTTTTGAATAAAATAATTAATTAAAACACATTTAAGACAATTATTAACTAAACAACACAAAATAGTTTTACAAGCACAAACAGTTTAAAAATTTTTAAGGAAATAATGTTAATTACTGAAAGTAAAAAGTAAAAAAGTAAAAATTATCAGACTGTCAAGACATCTATCTAGATTTTTAACGAATCAATGCAGTAAACTGTAAATTTTAAATTAGCGGATAAATAGTGTACTAACGGAGGTGTTATTTACTGAAAGTGAGTATAGGTGGCGATGACAAAATTTTTGAAAGTAAAATATATTAAACTGAGAATGAGAAAACAAAAAATTTTTATACTAACAAGAAAATTAGAACACTAAACAAGAAAATATGAAAATTCATATGTAAAAAGGGAAAATTTGAAGCAGATAATCAAAAAGAAAATTACTGTTACAGGAAACGGAAAATAGGTTGACAGTACGAATGTCAAAAAAGAGGAAAGTCAAATTTTGGCGTATGACAACCACGTGGGAGAATTTGAATAAGCTAAAAAAATTTTAATAAGATGCGAATGGGCAAAAATTAATGGAAAGAAAATCTAAAAAATACTTATTACACATGACTTTTTTAACTCGTTCTGTTAAACTTTTTGTAGCGCTTCCTTTATGGAATTAATCAAGGTGAGTCAAGGTTATTGTTTAACTTTCTTTTGTGTTTTTTCTGTTATTTTGTATATGTTAAAGTCCGTTCATGCTTTTATAATTGTTTTTATTACAACTGACTCCTTGATATTCCATTTAGGTGTGCCTGATGATGAAGTGACAACTTCGAAACCGGTCGCCAATAAATTGACTTTGTGAGAAATAAAGGACTTTTTCTTTAACCTTTACACTTAATAATAATAACATTGTTTATGTGATAACTGTATGAACAAATCACATAAATAGCAGTAGCTGCAACCAACTCGTCATCGAGTTCCATCTTGAACAATGAATAGGAAGTAAATGAACACTTGTGATCGTGAGGATGACAGCATAAGGACGGGATCGATGATGGCCCATTATGGCCGATCGTGTGAAAGACAGCGCGATGATGGGATCGATGATGGCCCATCATGGCCGATGGTTTATAGAAGCCATTAATAACAGATCATAAAATATCGTCCAATAGACATTCATTATAATGATGGTTTTTTCTTCAATTATTTACATACAAATACATTTACAGATGCTTTGTAAATTAGGTAGTAAGTTTAGTTTCTATTGTTTTGAAATCTTACCTTACTAGTAGATAATATTTCCGATATGGACATATTTGAAGGGTGAGCTGTGGTATTTGTGATTGGAGATGCGCCTATAGAGAGGTTGCTAGCATTTCTTTCTGGAGCTGTAAGAAGTCTTGCCAACGTCGGACTAAATGAAGTCTTTGTGTTTGGTTTGGAAGGAGTCTGAAAGGTAAAATTAAAAATAAAACTATTATCCTTAAAAATGCGACTTTCTTAAAATTTTACTGACAACAGCTGCACTTCAATATCTACGTAGAATTGTACACAATTCAGCCTATAATTTATTACTTTTTCTAGGCCCATGTCAGTAAACGTTAAAAATCGCATGTCAACATTCCTTGTAAATGACATTTAACAATAACATGCACGTAATGAGATCTCATAACATACACGTGATAAGAAAAATTATATTTTTTAGTTTAATCAAATTGCAATCAAATTTTTATCTACGCACGACTTTATTTGGTCTTTTTACATAAATTTAGTAAATTGAAAAACAAAAACTTTCAGCATTAGCGAGATACATTTTGGATTAAAAAAGTGATGCCCCTAAATGTCGGCAACACATTATACAATTTTTCTAAAAAAAGTCGCGTTTTCTTAGCATGCTATGGAAATAAACGTCTTGCCATTTATATTGTCAATTTTTGTAACAAAATATTATTGTTTTCAAACATTTTCTCAACTTTATCTACGAATATGTCTGTTAGTAGCGAAAGTGATGAAATTATGAGCACTCCACCGGAGATTTTAGAAAAAGTTCAAACTGCCACACATAATTTGTTACCGCTAAAATCCATAGGTAAGAAATTGTCTATCGAAAATTTATGGATTGGCGACACAAGCATATGTCCTTTACTTAACCCTTTCAGTGGCCATGGGTGCAATTGTACCTATTGAAATTATTAATCTGTGAAAGCTTTAAACATTTAATTCTAGTAGTCGGAATAATGGAAACTGTAATCCTTGTACACCTAATTTTACTTTCTATACATATATGGCAACAGCAGTGCCGTCGTTTTGACGTTGAAACCGTTTAAATGTCAGTGTATTCATGTGAGTGACAGTCGAAGTAAGTAAGATTATTTGTAATCTTTCATTATTGTTTGTTTTAATGGTCATCTTTTAATTTTTATTGTTAGAATATAAAGAAATAGGTTATTATTTACGAATGGAAGATATATTTTGTTCATATATTATTTGTGATTCTGGCTAAGTGGTCATAAAAATAAAAGGGTACATTTGTACCCATAAACACTTAAGAGCACATTGTTTCTAGTCTACATCTGTACCCAAAAACACTAAATTAGTGTTTTATTTTTAGTTGTTAAAAAAGTATTTGTTTTATTTTTAGAGCAATATGGCTTCAAAGCAAGGGAAACGAATATTTTTAAATGAAGAGGAACTCCTCCAGGAATTATAAACCAGCATATCGGATATAGAGTGTTTGAGTGACGACGCAGGTGATGGTGATGAGGATATGGTAATTAGAGAAAGGATACAGGACGAAGAGGCAGCTAACACTAGGGAAAACGACGACAGCTCAGATGATGAGATTGAAACTATAAATAATACCGAGGGGGATAAGATATTAGAAAATAACTATGAATGGGTAACTCCAAAAAAACTTGTGAAATGGTTAGAGAATGTTGAATATATAACAAAAGATTTGTATTATCAAACAAGTCGCTTATCTAATAATGAAATAACTGAAAACTATCCAATTACGTAATTTCTAAAATAAGTTCCCAATACTTTTGTTGAAAATATAGTCCAATATACGAATATGTATGCAATTCAGAATGGAACCACCAGCTTTCAGCCAACAAATTTATCAGAAATAAAGGCCTTTTTTTGGATTGACGATAATAGCAGGAAATCTAAGGTTTCCTAGACTCAGTATGTATTAGGCATTCCAACGACCTGTCCAAATGGCTACCAGTGGGTAATGACAGTTTAGATATGGCAACCCTGTTGTCAAGTTGTCATTAACAGGGTCAATGATACATATATAGTTATATAGATTGCTCAAAGCTTGTCGTTTACGAGCGGCCATATTGCCTGGCAAATATTTATTAATTTGAATCGGTTTGGCAAAAATTTGTTTTAAAACCAATTATTAGCCTTTAGATATTTAAAAAAAATAATTGCTTACATTTTTACTTAAAGGCATAAGCTTATGTTTATTTTGAAAAATATGGATGATCAATCTATGTAACTATCTATTTCATTGACCTTGTCAAATCACCAGGCCTACAGGGTTGCCATAATTTTGCCATATCATAACCCACTGGTAGCCATTCAGTTTGGAATGCCTAATTGGGACAGGAAGCTGAAAGTAAATTTATTTACTGAAATGATGTCTCTAAAGCGATTTTTTAAGTTACGCACGCACGTATATTGTGTAGACAATTTAGCACCAAGAAACAGTGAAGATAGGTTATGGAAAGTGCTCCCAATTTTTTACTCAGTTTTGAAAAGATGTAAAGAATTAGATATTGAAACAAACCTTTGCGTAGATGAGCAAATGATGCCTTTTAAAGGTAAACTCTCTCTAAAACTTTACCTATTGAGCGGAGAAAGCGGAATAACGTATAATTTCATCATTTATCGAGGTAAAACGACTGAATTTCAACCGAATCTTTTGAAAAAATATGAGGAGCGTTCTGTCTTACATCTTAGTGAACATCTAAAACCCGGCAAACATAGGTTGTTTTGTAACAATTTTTTCACTACATACCATCTCCTACAAATACTAAACGAAAAGGGTATTCTTGCTGCGGCATTCCGGTACAATTAGAAGTGATAAATTTCGTAAACCACCAATTTCCAGAAAGAAAAATTTTGCAAAAAAAAGAGAGGAACATCTGAACTTGCAGTTTCTACTGATGGAATTGTACTGGTGAACTGGTTAGATAACAAACCAGTAACTTTAGCTTCAAACTTCGTTGGTGTTGGAAAAGAAAATACTGCAAAAAGGTGGGATAAGGTAACAAAAACTTATGTTGAGGTAAATCGACCTGAAATAATACAGAAGTACAATTGTTCAATGGATGGAACTGATAAGGCAGATGCGCTCATTGCATATTAGTTCTAAAAGTCGTTGTAAGAAATGGACAGTGAGGATGAGTTTCCATGCTATTGATATGGCGTTAATCAACTCTTGGTTAGAGTACCAAAAGGATGCAGCTGTTCTAGGAATTGCATAGAAAGATATTTTAGATTTGTTGCACTTTCGAATGCATGAAGGTAAATCCCTTATAAAAGTGGAACAAGATAATTATCGAAAAAGAGGGCGACCTTCATCTTAAATGAATCTAGTCCATAAACCGTCAAAATGTTGAAGTAAGGCCACTAGATGAAGTCCGTTATGATAATGTCGGTCACTTTCCTAAACATTCCGGCTCAGGTCTTTCATTAAGATGTAAAAATCAGAATTGTGGCGCAAAATCTCGATGGAAATGCACAAAATGTAAGATTCATCTATGCCTTCAAAAAGAAAAGAATTGTTTCATCGATTTTACATCGAAAATAATGTTACCTTTTTTTTACTTAGTAAATAGATTGTTTTGATAAGTTTTAATTAAAAAATAAGCGTTTTAAGTTTAATAATTTTTTTAGTTCATTTTCCTTTAAGTGCTGATGGGTACAAATGAACCCATATAACTTTTTCTTTAGTGTAATGGAAAAAAATGTAAAACCTCAAAATCATATTTATGTACCCTAAAATAACACACTACAGCCAAAAGAAAATTTTACAGCTACAAAAATAAATCGCCACTGAAAGGGTTAATAGAAGAAAATAAGTGGGCATAGAAAAAGTATAGCGTTACACGAGTTGTAAGCCCATTACGCACTCGCAGCTGCGTGGCTTCGTGCGTAATGGGTTGCTTACAACTCTTGTTACATAATATACTATTCCAGCAAACAAAATATACACTTAATTACACATCAGATATTAGTTGTTCTTCTAGTGTGCTTCTATTTAATTTTGTTTCAATTTTACACAAACAATGGCTTACCTTAGTTAAAATACCATGCAGAAGTGAATTCGTCTGAGTTGGTGGGGGTGTAGAAGTAGGAACAGGATGTACTGTAACTTCAGGATAAGGAGGAGGCGGCTTAATAGCATTTTGAATCAGTTCGTTTCTCTCATTTTGGGATAGTTTGGCAAATTGCAACAGCATGTCCTTGAACGATACAGTATCTTGAGCACCTGAAGAATCAAAATTTTGCAATTTGTTGGCATCTTGTCGGCTCTGAAATAAAAGTAATTTTCAATATTATACATTTTGTAAACTATAATGATTTCAATTAAATAAGTCGCACAACAAAATTAATTACTATTTCTTGTTTTTTCAAATTTTTCATGTATTATGTATTCCTTTTAGAATCAAAAAATAAAATACCAATCATAATTTCAGGAAAAATGAAAAATCATTGTTTTTTTAAATAAAGAATTATTATTTAGTGTGGTTTGTAGATTATCATTAAAAATGTTGTTTCTAAATATGAAAATATGCATTTGAAGGTTTAAAAAACCGGTAGAGTATCACTCTTGTGATAAAAACAAGGTTTATAAAGTAGGTCAGAGTTATATGATAACTATATACAGTTTTTTTCAGTTTCATACAATTACACCAGAAGAACGGTATAGAATAAGCGATGACATTCATTAGACAGAGGCGAAGACATATAGGTAAAACAGTGTGAGCCAGCCCAGTGTGGTAGAGATGAATCCATCTGACCAATCTCCTTATTTCGTTTACGTGCAAATATAATAATTAAGTGTCTTATTTTTAAGAAGAATTGTAAGCTTCGACACACCTTTTGTGTTACCTGAGCAGTTCTGCTATATTAACAGTAACACAATAATATTGTGACAAATTGAAAAAGAATTAGACAGTAGAAGACTTGACAATTGGAAAAAGAATTAGACAGTAGAAGACTTGACAATTGGAACGATCTCTTGGGGTTAAGATACTTCTAGTTGACTATAACCAGAAAAAACCAAAGCCTCTATCTGTCTTAGCTATCCATAGTTACAAAGATCCTTATCGGACAATGCCGACTCAAAGGATACCTTAGTAAACTTGGTCTAGGCTAGGCCGGGTTGCTGGCCACCGTGAAAGGTATTCAAAACACCGATCACAAGAGCAGCTGTGATGACTCAGCCACGGTCTGAGTGGGTGACTGAACTCGCGCAGCTTGGGGACCCATTTAGACTCTGGGATGTATGGGTAGAATGCATGAGTTGATTGAAAAAGAAGGTTGTATTATTAACCAATGAGGCTGCGGTGCCGCCATGCGTACCCCAGAGGAGGGAAAGACTGGCTGGAACCCAAGCCTGATTGAAAGGAGCCAGTGGCTGGACCTATGCCTGATTGGGGGAGCATAGGGGTGCCTAGTGAGTGCAGATCCTGCAAGGAGGAGAAGGACGAAACCTCCGTTCACATTCTGACTAAATGTGTAGCACTACCGAATCCAAGGGCATTACATACTTGGGAGCATTCCAAATAGAAAAGGGCAATTTACCGAGCTTACAGCCTCTCCAAATTCACTTCATTGGGAAAATAGGATTAGAAAGGTATATATAGACGTCAAAAGCAGGGGTACAATATATCTTTTAGGTTTTGCATTAACATTTTTTTTCTTGGCCAACTTTAAAACATTTTTTATCACTCATAAGGGGTCTTTTGTGAGTGGCTAATTTGATTACGAAAATAAAAATATAACTCACCATATTAATTGTATTCAACAATAGTCCAATATCACTGGAGACATCACCTTGTCTGACTTGAGCTCCACTTCCTAGGGCCATTGAAGAAAAGTTCATAATACTGTTTTTATTGGAGCCATCGCTTTGTGAGCACCGGATCCTTCTTCCTCTTCGAGGTACAGATTCTGGATGCCTTTGTCTATAATCTGCAATAATGGACTGTACGTCCAGCGTAAGTCTTTTGCCTTGTCCGTTTAGATCAAGATTATTCTGAGTTTTATTGTAAATCATTTGTTTTTGGCGTTGTAGATTACCATTAACATTTGAAGCATTCATATAAGTTTTATGCTGGCTACTAAGATTTGATTTTAAGATACTTTGAGGTGATACATTTCTTAAACGTTCTTCGATTGTTCCATTTTGAGATTCATTTAATAAATCTGCATAGTCTGATTTCTCGGAAATTATTATAATTTGCTTCTTCCTTTGCATTCTAAGGAGCAGTTCTTCTTTAAGTTTCTTAAGATGAATAATATTGTTCCATTCTCTTTCTTTCTCTTTAGCAAATTCATTTAGTGTTTTTATTTCAACAAGAAGTTGTTCGCTAAACGAGTTTATTTGGTCTAGATTAGTGCAGTCGGCCATTTCAATAAAATCGGTGATGATTTTGTCTCGACAAACGAAATTTTCTTGTATTTCTGTTTTCAGTCTTTTAACCGGGTAATCTTGACTTTCAGATTTTCGTTTATTATCAGATTTTGGCGAACTGTTATTACTGTAACTTTCATCTTGTATTTCACTGGAATCAGGTTCTTCCTTCAGCCCATTGGATATATTTTCGGTTTTCGTTTTCTCAGATGAATTTTCATCTTGTGCCTTAAGTTCTTCATTGTCTTTGGTTAGTTCTTTTTGGTTTTCGTCCGATTTGATTTCGGTTTTTACTTTTATATCTTCACTTCGTTCTTCTGCATGGCCTGGAGAGGATGGCTGGACGTTGCATCCCTCCACAACATTTTCCATGATCTGCATTTTATTTAAACTGAAACAAGAAGGTAATTTTATCAATTGCCCATTGGACTTTGTTTAATAAATTGCATTTTTGATTGACTGATTAGACAATTTTAATAAAATAAAGTAAATAGCATAAGATTTGTATATATTTATTATAAAAATACTAAATAGAATATAATTATTGGAAAATTTATAAATAAAATCGGAATCCACATTGTACTCTCATTGCCCTACTTAGTTACTTAATAATAACTTCCCAATTATTGTTAATAGTAAAATCTTGTTATCTATGTGTATTTTAGAGGCAAAAATGATAAGTTTTTTTTTTTCAAAAACATTCATCATGTTTCAAAGAAATCCTTGAGTAAGAAATGAATGGTTGTTTACTCTTTAGGTGAAGTAATATTAGTAATAATTCCGGTTTTGCATCTTTTATGATTTTTAGGAATTATATCAGAGCAAAAGGCAAGTACACTAGGGGCAGCGATTCTTTATCTGTGCGTTATTAATATCTGATAATAAAACACAGGTACTTTTTAAACCTGAAAAGCTGGACAAAAGTAGGATATACATAAAACATACTATTTTTAGATAATAAAATTATTTTTTAAATTTATTTCTACAAAAAGAATGTCAAATACCATTAAAAAAAAAATAGACTTTTTGGATTTATATTCTATATCGTAACGTTTAATTAGTTACACTGACAATTATTTATTTATACTCAATACTACCTAATTTATAGCGTAATATACTAATTTACATTAACATTGTTAATCTGATCACAGCGATATCTTAACTTGAACTGACTTTACCAACAAACGTGGCCTATTTATACACACACGTAGTTTCTCGAATTGTTCACGCATTCATCAGAACTTGCTATGACGATGATATCTTCGCCATTTATTAGACTGATGCGTTGTCTCCGGGAGCTTCCGATAAATTCTAGATAGTTCTAACCACCAAATTTTAGAACTCAATTGTTCACGACGATTGACGATGACTAACAATAGTCGTCCCACATGAGGGATTCTGGGGGTTTACTCACTTCATCAAATTTTTAAGGTAACGAGAAAATAGAGTTCGTAAAAGGCCCAAATAAGGCCGGGAGGGACTTAAGGGATTATAGCAGGACCGGACTGGCAAAAAGTGCCTCGCACGACAATATAATTTGTTTTGAATTTAGTTAAAATGTGTAACTATTATAGTCAATACCCAGACAACACACCAAATCCCAGAGATATCCACAGAATATCTTTTGTGGATATCCAATATATCCACAGGATATCATAAATATTCCGTGGATCTAATATGGATATCCAAATGTCCGTCTATATCCAGAATATAGAAGATATCCTATGGATATTCAGCAAAATATCTAATGAGTATCTTCCAGACAATACAAGAAATCCCAGAGATATCTACAGAATATATTTTGTGGATATCCAATATGGATATCCAACCAAATGTCCGTCTATATCCCAGGATATAGAATTCAGATATTCAGCAAAATATTTTATAGGTAACTTTAGTAGAAGGTTCATAAGTAACCAATGATTATTGAATAACGTCGAAAGAAAATAGAGATAAAAAATAGTTCCAACAATCTGCCTTTGATTTTGCCCACTAAGGAGAAAGTCATCCTTATTAGGACTCTTTAGCAATAAATTGAAATTCGACTCCAGTCTCTAATGGAGTCTGATTGTGAAAAAAATTTTGATCGAACTCAATTACGGCGGGTTGAGCATGAGTAGATAAGAAAGTGGTATCGCCATCTATACTTAGGAAGCAAAATCAAAAAATACATCTAGTGGATATCCACGATGGTTTGCGTCTGCCTTAGACTTTGATATATTTAGTGGATGTCCATGGGATATTGAATATACCTTAAAAAAATTAATTTTAAATATCTGAACGGTACTATTAGCCACAATGGCGAGCACAATGGCGTAATTTTTTAATAATTTGCTATATAATTACTGTTACTTATGGACATTTGCATGTCTATAAATTACATTTCATGGGTATAAAATATATATCCACCATGGACTGGAAATTCAGTGGATATTGGGATGTTCAGTAGATATCCAAAGGATTTGGTGTGCTGTCTGGGTACATATGAAGCATAAAAATTGGCGGGGCAACACTCAGATAAAACACAATTCAAGTAGGACTATGTACTGTCCATGTCATATAGATTTGATTAAAGATTAAAATGGAACACAAGAGTGTTGCAGTGGACACCTTGGATGGCAGAAAGAAGGTCTAGATGACCCATATAACCAAGAATAACAGGTGAGGTTATGGCTATCCTGGACAAGAATAGTTCAGACCAGAAAATGGTAGAAATAACCAAGGAAAGTCTTTGCTTAATACTGGGAGCAAGACGGCTGAGCAAAAAGAAGAAAATACATATGAACTCAGTAGCAACATTTGAATTGTAATTTATTGTCCTCTATAAAAAATATAAAAATATTATCGGCTCTTGAGCTCCTGAACTCCAACCGAGTGGATCTCAAGCTGGTTTGGAGCTATATACAGTCCATCGAATGCTTTTGTACCTGGAACAAAGTTACTTGATGATCTGGGTTCTGGGAAACAGCGATGTGGAGGGCAATGCAGCCGATTAATGGCAATGAAAAGAGGAAACGAATCTGAGATCATAGGACCAGAACCTCAATTACAAAGAGAACGTCCTCAAACTGAACAGAGAATATAAACACTGATGAACATTACTGGAGGGATATCCCAATGCTAACTCGTTTGAATGCGTTTATATCCAACTCTTCAATGAACACCTTTGTTCAGACCAAGGAATAAAGTGGGAAAAATAATCTTCGCATTTTACGGAACTGATGACAGAATACAGCCCTCTAGAAGGCAACTACTTGAATAGGATAGCTCTTCGCAAACATCTAACTTTCAAATTATTTATTGGCTTTACTGTCTAGAGCAAAATCACTTTAAACAAGTTTCATCTAACTTAGCCATGGCCTTCATCAGAAGCCAATAGATTATTTTGGGTCTCAGTGGAAACCAATGTTTTCATCCTGGTGATTTTCAACTCAACCAATTTAAAAACGGCTCTATCTCATGAACTACATATATCAGAAAATATTTCTAGGATATGAAGGGGGAAAATGACAAAATACAGAACTCACCCCCATCAACCCCCTATGAGTGTATACAAAAATAGTAACCCCTACTTGTCATAGATCATTGGATATAATTAAGTTATAATTTATATGGTATGTTTATCTGAATTTCAAATATTTCTAGTCCAGGTATGCAAAATATTTTTTTTTATTAGTTAGGTTTTACTTTTTCATGAGATACAACCTTTGTGAATGTTTATATCGTCACCCTGTATAATTTTAATTTATTTATCAAAATCTTTCAGCCTCTAAATAACCAATTACGTTTGAATGTTCCTTACAAAAATTACGATTGTATTTTCAGCAACCTTGGTAATTTAATTCTATTTTCAAAGAGATGACTCTTACCTTTCCGCCGTTATTCTCTCTGAATCGCAAAACAAATTGGCGAGATGCATAACAAAACTACATTTCCCCACACAATAACAAAGCCGAAAAAGCTGGCGAGGTAAACGCACTTGAAACTTTGGTCTCCAGCGGTGGAAAGTAGCGCGAAGAAGAGGTGATACCTACGAAATTGAAAACAATATCGGTATCGGTAGCCGAACGCAAACTCGTGTTGCGAACACGTGCAACGTGCTTTGGCGCAGACTTTTAGCGAGCGACGTGCGATATTCAACGCGTTGCAGGAGAGGAAAGTAAAGGGTGTCGAGGAGGGGAGGCGGCACGGCGAGGAAGGAGAATAATCGGCGCGTCGCGTCGTGTCGACTTGCAGTGCGGAGGTCGGAGGCGGACGGCAATACAGACTACAAGTAGGTCGACGTACAAATGACAAACGAGTGGTGGTCACAAACCTTTGGAGAAATGAACTGTAAGCCAGTGGCGGCGCGAGCACAACAATGGTAACCTTGGATTAATAAACGCAAGGAACTTCGGGCTCGAAATTGCTCAAGCGAGAGATAGGTATTCGGCGTACATTTTATTCTAGTAAATAAAGATCTAGCATGAGCGTGTATGCCTCTTATTATAGAAGCAATACTGTTTTAATCAAGGACGATTCATTGCCTAGAAAGTTGTGATTCAATCAAATTATTAATACACTAGAGATGTTGGAATTGTATAGGTATACAAGGTGTCCCAAAATTTCTGGGACAGAGCTACCACGTATTGTAGAGGTCAAAATAAAGCGATTATGGACCCAATTTATATGCAGTCAAAGCAGCTGAAGCACAAGAAGCTTGTCGGCAGATGATAGCAACACAATGACAAAAATTTTAATACATTATGTATAATACAAATATGCTGTATTTGAGTTACATTAAATAATCTTTGGTAATAAAAACAAAAAACAATTTTCCTGATTCATAGTTTACAAGTTTTTACTTTTTTCAATGCTATTAAAACTATTATCCATTTTAATAATCAATTTGCTATAGAGGTGAGTCAAATATGATCATTTGATGATTTAGATGTACCTATTTTTGGTTAAATCATGATATTCGGAGGTCTGGAGAAGATTAATATCTTTTGATTTATCAAATGCTTAGCCTTTTTTATTTCATCTTTATAGAAAAAATTATAAACTTGTGTGTCATCTATCATCGGCGTACATATGGATCTTCTTCTGTTTGATATGATATAACATTATCGTTGCAAAGAAATTTTATAATTCTTTGCGCAACTGAAACATGAACTGATTATTCCTTCATCTTTGACAGTACTAATAAAAAACAATCAAAACTTCAATGACACCACGCAATGTTTCTAGGCATTCCCCAAGAGTCGTGGGTGAAGACCAATTTCCAACTAGGCGTTTTTATAAGATTTTTTAAATTTGAACGATCTTATCCTATTATTCATAGTGTCATGCGAGCTATTTTAGACCGGTCCGTCCTGCTCTAATCCTTGAAGTTCCTCTCTGCCTTATTTA